GGGGGGGGGGAGGGGATGGGTTGGCCCTGAACTGGAGTTAGTTTAGGGCGCATGATACGACCGCACTGGGTGCGAAGTTAACCACTTCACACTTGAACACTTGAACACTTGAACACTTCAACACTTCACCACTTCACACTTCACCACTCCACACTTCACTACTTCACACTTCATCCCTTCAAACTTCACCCCTTCACCCCTTCAAACTTCACCCCTTCACCCCTTCGAATCCCGAGTTATACAATGGACCGAATCGACTTCCGAAGGAATGAAGCCCACGGCCCATTCATCGGGAGATCTCGATTCGGGGCGTGGCTATCCATCCTCGATTCCGTGCCAGACGATGTTTGAGCTCCTAGCTTTGCTCACCATCGATAAGGAATACGAGAGGACTCTGTCTAGACCTCTTCGAATCTGCCTACCTCGGTCCCGTTTGACAGCGCTTGTACAGAAGAGAGAGTATCGTGTGTAAGCAAGCGCGCTAGCGCCTATCAACAGTTCAGTCGTGGTGACACTTTTCCCGTGGTGGCCTTTCCGTCACAAAGGCTCTCCGAGTGGAACAAAGCCAAACAGATCGGTCGATGTTGATCGGGTAGAGCAAAGGCCAAAGGCCCATGTTCCATGAGTGAAAAAAAAAGGGATGAGCTAAATCCACTTGACTAGTAACTAAATCCACTTGTGATACCTACACCTATCACTCGCTTAACCGTGTACGGTCGTAGAATTGACTTGTAACTATCGTAAAGTAACCGCCTACCTCCCTCTTCCTCTCTTCTGCTCCCTTTGTTTAAACTCCCCTTCTTTTTTGTTCTACACGGTTAGGGTTAGTGGTTAGGGTTAGCGGTTAGGGTTAGTGGTTAGGATTTGGGTTAGGGGCTCCTACTAGACCTCCGGAGGATAAGGGATATGTATATAATTTTGGTGAGGGGAGGCTCGGTTAATAGGTGTACCCCCGAAAACACCCCGGCTCAAGTGGATTTAGTTACTAGTCAAGTGGATTTAGTTCATCCCAAAAAAAAAGAGGAGCGTGGGGAAGTCAAGAGTGAAAAGGGTAAAATTGCCGAGTACGAGGGGTGACCGGCGCGCACCCGGTGCGATTGTATCGTCCGCCGTCAACGCGGCTCGGCGAGACGTTCATTAGCCCCCCCGGTGCAAGGAAGATGGCATTTCAAGAATATCCCCTATGGCATTATATTCAGCGCCCTATTCGCCGAGTGGTGCAAATTGTCTGCCGCCATCTTGTGGATGAAAAAAGTTCTTCAACGCTGTCAGCTGCTGGTGGGGACAAGAACGCTTTTCGGTCTGTCATCTCCTATGCATCCACGGCTGCCTTAGTAGTTGACGGGTCGAGGGGTGGGACGACTTGCAGAGTTGCAATGGCACAGGATACGGTCCTCGTGTGTGGCAGGGGGAAGGGCGTAAAGGGTGTAAAGGCCCAGTCGATCAAATATCGGGGTCCCAGCCCCCCTCCAAAATCACGCTCTCCATTCTCTCTCGTTCCTCTCCTTCAACGGCGTCAGTGGTCGTGGCACCAAGATGTCACCTCTCCCCTTAACATCAGTCGTCCTGGTAGTCGGGGCCTTTTTGAACGCGGGGGTCTTTGCTCAGTTTCAAGTGCTCTCAAATGAGACTCTTGCGAACACCACGTCGTCTCTCTCCGACGCCTGTCTCCTTGCCCTTCAAGGCACCGTTCAATGCAACTCGAGTTTGCAAGGTATAGCCGCTTCGGACTATTTCTATCAGCTCGACGATTCGGATTTTGGTTCTTTCTGTGCTGAATCGTGCGGCCAATCTCTGGCAGCATATCATGAGTCCGTTGATGCGGCGTGTGCGGGGCAGCCGCAGCCTTGGGATGGCTACCCCATGACTTACTTTGGAGATCTGCTCTGGGCGAGTTATAACTTGACTTGCTTGACGGATCCAACTAGCGGGGAGTCTTGCATGTGTAAGTAGCAGACTGATGCCTGATATTCGACACTTCAACCTTGCTTACTGGGAAAAGCCTACCTGCTCAATATCTCAAGTTCTTATTCAACCGACATCTCGGCAACAACACTACCAACAACAGTGCTCTGCTCTCCGTGCGTATTGTCGATGTACCAACTTTTCCAGCAGACAGCGTACAGCTATTACGATGAGTCCATGGCGAGCGACTGGTCTAATATTCAGAATCAGTGCAACGTGTCGTATCCGACGTCAGTGCCAACAAACCCGACGAATGTCACAAGTATCCCGGGGTTCGCCCCGCTCAACTATACAACTTCAACGACGTGTTACTCCGGCTCGACTTATTCAGTGGTCCCCGGAGATGATTGTGTATCAATCTCCAAGGCTAATAATGTCTCCACTGGAGCCCTCATCAACGTGAATGACTTGCTGCCTGATTGCTCTGATATTACTGGTTAGTCGACCATCGATCAGTATGTTTTGATCCACTGAGATGGAAGCTGACCAAATCTATAGTTGGCGCAGAATTATGCCTTCCTTCAGCCTGTTCAACGTATACCGTGCAGTCTGACGATACATGTGCAAGCATTACCAATTCTAGCGGTATTTCTTTCACCCAATTTGCTTCCTGGAACCCGGCTATTGATCCATACTGCACTAATCTTGTCCCTGGCCAAGAAGTCTGCGTGGGACTTCCCGGCCTTGCTTACAGCGGCACAACAATTGCTGGAGCCACCGCCCCTCAAACAGCAGTATATGCAACTGCCACCGTAGCAGCACCCAGTAACACTGCTTATGGCACCACGACCCAGTGCGGGGAATATTACACTGTCGAGAGTGGCGATGACTGCAGTCTCATCACTCTGAATTATACCATTACCATTGGCCTGTTCGAGGCTATCAATCCGTCCGTCAACGATAATTGCACCAATCTTATACCCGGCATCAGCTACTGTGTCTTCCCAACCGCAGATTGGAACAGCACCAGTACCAATACAACCACTACCTCAACCTATATCAGTGCACCGGCAGCAACTCCTACAGGCACAGATCCGAACTGCTATGCATGGCATGTCATCGTCGAAAACGATTACTGTGGCCTTCTCGAAAGCGAGTACGGCATCACGATGAACCAGCTCCAGCTCTGGAACCCTAGTCTCAATGCCGCGTGCAGCAATCTCATTCTTGGAGATGCATACTGCGTTGATGGGGATTCGGGCGAGACCGCAGCCGCATCATCCACTGCTGCGGCATCTTCCACTGGCGCGGCGTCATCAACCGCGGCCTCCAGCTCAAGCCCACGCTCAAGCTCAAGCACACCCCCAACAACAACAAGCTCTTCCTCAACCTCGACAACACCATCTATCCCCGGCCCTACCCAATCCGGCATCACGCCCACTTGCACAGAATACTACCTGACCAAAGAAGGCGACGACTGTTTGTCTATCGAGACGGAATTCTCCATCACATTAGCCCAATTTTACGCCTGGAACCCAGCCGTTGGGCCTGATTGCACCAACTTGTGGATTGGAGAGGCGTATTGTGTTGCTGCTCCGGCAGCAGCGGCGTCTTTGACCGCGACGAGCGTCACCCCCCCTGCACCCACGCAGAGCGGAATCGCTTCGAATTGTGATGCGTGGACGGTGGTTACGTCGGGCGATTCGTGTTCATCAATTGAATCGAAGTACAATATCACGTTCGCCCAGTTCTACGCGTGGAATCCAGCTATTGGTAGTGACTGTACTAACTTGTGGCTAGAGGAAGCGTATTGTGTTGGTGTCTCGTAGGAGTGCATTGAGATGATTGGAACTTGGAGGACTTGATCCAACTACCTTGAATGGTATATTGTAATATTATCCGTATCTACTCGCTGCTCTACTTGGCATCCTTGATGTTGAACAGAAAAATCAAGTCCGCAAAGATTGTCTCAAATTTCCCAAAGAATGAGAAGTTACGTCTTCCGCGTTTTATCTGATCTACACGGGAGTGCAGGGGCCAAATAAGCTTACACGCCCGGGAATCTGTTCGGATCGTTCGGATAAACTTTGCCGCCAAGTACTAGTCGATATAATAGATCCACTCCCAAGATCTTTCGGCGATATGACCGATTAGGATAAGTGTGCTAGTTTAGATAACGTTAGTCCCGCATCGATTTACCTTACCTTAGCACGTTAGGCCATTATTTATATTTATATTCCGTAACTAAAATGTTCACTCACCTCCCCCCCTCGATCCAGCACCTTTTGCGATTCCGCAGACTCAATTCATTCCAAAATCCCATTCCAAGTCCCTTACGAAGCAGATTTAAAATGTCGACTTATATTCCCCCAGGTTGGACCCCAGAGCGTCTGGAAACAGCCACAGCAGCCGACCTCCAAACCCTGCCCGAAGAAGTAAACCGCCCCTCCATTACCCTCATATTCAACTCTACTCTAACATTCCTTTCCCCCCTTTCCAGCAATTAGCCCTCATCCCCCTCGCCTCAATACCCATCACCAACCGCGATGCCCGGAAGTTCCTCAAACAATTCCAAATATCTCACGCTGATCTTGTCCAACGAGAACGCCTCGGTCTGCCTCCCCTCCCCCCGTCACAGCCCCGAGAACAACAACCACCCGCCCCGCGAGAGGAAGCCCCAGAGCAATTCGTCCAGGTAGTAGAGGAGAAGCGGCTGGATGATTTCGGATTCGTGGTTTTCCGCACCACATACACAAATGAGCAAGCCTGGGAGAGGTGGCAGAAGGAATACGACGATCTGCTAGAGAAATCGATGGATGATTGCCAAGGAGGCGGAGTGCAGAGGGTGAGAGAGAAATTGCTTTCGTCGCTGGTTGATGATTCTGATTTGGACGGGATGGGGTTGGAAGGAATTCCTAGGTATGTGCGCGCTCGGAGGAATGACATGTCTCAATACAGATGTGTGGATGGGTGGTGTTGGCCAATACTTACTTCCTTGCTACTCTAGTGCTTTTGCAGAGATAAGGGAGAACGGAGATGTCCCCCCAGGCTTGGATGTAGGGATGTGCATGGTGGTTGACGAGGCGGCGATGCGGTCGCTGCTAGAGCCTGTGGAAGGACAGGAGCCGTGGGTGTGGGCGGTTGATGTTCACCACGAGTTTACGGAAAACCAGGATGAGAGCGAGTATCCTGGGTACTTCAAGGTTGCGATATCCTCCCTCGTACCGGATCTCTGGCCTATGCTAGCTGGACCAGAGATGCCGCCGCAGGAACTATGGCCTTTTGCCAGACCGATTTGGAAGAGTGCTGTGTGAGATTTCCGAATGGAGATGCACAAAGTTTGCACGAATTCTAGCCATGTCTAGGCAAGCTCCTCCTGGGCTCGGGTCAAAACTTCAGCCGCTCCGAGTCCGACTAGAACGAGACAGGGCCAATGAGGGAAAAGGTTCGTGTCTCTAGGCCTATAGACGTACTAAAAGATCATGGGTAGATCCGCCTCCATGCAATCTCCTTGCAGCAATTTTCTGTCTGTACGGAGTACAATGGTCTAGTTCGCCCAAGGAAAAATATATTATTGCTTGGGATTTAGAACAGAGATGAAGAGATGCATGTCATCGAAAAAAACCACTTATTACCCTCTCAAAAAAGCAAGACCAAGTCTGTCTAGACCTAATCCTTAATCAAATACAGAACATCGTATTTGTGGAAAAATATAAGTACAGTTGCCAGGACCCCTCTTAATAGATACATTTATTGTATGTAGTATTAGTGAAAAGTCCGAGAAGTAGAAGCCTAAGAACACAAGGTCTATATTAATAAGATCTTACGACCGTCTACTTACAGGCACTACCCGTGAATATCTCCCTAGCGATCCTGAGATAATGTGTTGGGAAAGGAGGGAGTCTAGCTTGTACTTACTGAGTAGGATACTTTCTTAGAACAGGCTGTGACTACGAGAAAGAAGCTTATGTGTGAGTTTTAATTACAAGATAGGACAGAACATATTAGTACCGTTGGTAAATAAGGGCACGTACGCTATCCCTTGCCCTTGTCACCGCCTACCTTACTCCTTGACCCCCGCTCTATTAGGCAAGAGCTGAATAACATTCCTAACACTACTATATGATTGTAAAGACAGCGTCACAGACGTCCGGTGATATTCTAAGCTGGATCACGACTTCTCTAAGTACATATAACTGCGAACAATCTCTTATATAGCAGAATTCTATACCTACCCGCCTACGAGACTATATATGGATGTATATATGTGTACATATATACAGATCTGTATATATTTGTGCTGTACCCACTCCCTCCTCCTCACCACTAATTGTCTTCCCCCCCAGCTGAAAGGAAGAAGACCGACTTCCTGTGGGCCTTGGCTCTCTCCTTATGAGGGAGCTGTTCCCAGAGCCTGGAGGAGGCTTTCCGGAGCTAATTTACCTTTCACTCGAATCCTCGCCATAATCAACTCTGACCTCCTGAGTCCGTCTAATACCATTATTCTCACCCGCCTTTACCGACCCAAGAATACTGTCCTCGCTCGTATTACCGGGCGGCCTGGTTACCGTAGTCGTGGTTGTGACAACGCGAAACTTATCAGGCTTCCCAAGATAGTACGAATTCGCCAAATTCTTGTTGTTGTCAGAGCCACCTGCACTAGGTATCCAGTCCATATGATGCGATCCGTTTTCGCCGTAGGGCCCATCGCCCAGCTGATTCTGGTAGCCACTACCATCTGCGCCGTGTAGGAAGATCCTTTTGTAGAGGGGGTATAGCACGAGGACTGAGTTACAGGTGAGGGTGACACAGAATTCGCCGGCAGTCCAGATGATGGGGTCGACTATGGCATCTGTTTGATCATTTGTCGTAAGCATAATCCAGGTGACATGGTCATGTGTTCAAGGATTCTGTGTACATAGTGTAGTGACTTTTTTAGAAGTTGGTTCAGGAAATGAAATAGGATATGTGTTGGCAGCATTGCAACTTCTTGGCTACAAAGCATGCCTTACAGATAAGATGAAGAAAGAGAAAGGAGTACATACACGAGAAATCCTCCGAAGCCAGTTGGGTGAGCTTGATAGTGCGGACAATACCACAAACTCCAGCACTGTTCAATAGGCCGGCAATATTAGCTCTAGTATATTTCAAAGAAGCACCAGAGTTGTATCCCAGACTTACATGATGCCCAAGCTAAGACCGCAAAGAATAAGCGTCTTCTCCTTCTTCCCCATCTGAATTTTCCACATAAATATCCAGGGAAATAGTGCATAGAAGAAGTCCGATACAATCAAGATTGCTAGCAGATTGAACATCATCAGTATTAGATTTCTCTTGCCAATAACTCTCAAGAGGAGGTGGATCTTACAGCTGTAGACAAGCGAAAGTGTTGTCTGATTCAGATGGACTGTTCCCTGAATAGTAGGGTTGTAGATAGACTCAACAGGGGTTTTTTGAAGCCAGAGACACGTAACCGTTATAGTACAAAGAATGGTGACAATTGCCATGGGGATCAGGAGTGCAATCCGGTGCCAACGCTGAATGACAATACGTAATAGGAAGATACCAAGGACGACCTTGACAGCACCGGCAACAATAATACCCACGGTTTGGGCGATAGTGACATACTTCAGCGTCTGAATAGTGCTTTCGAGGTTCAGTTGATTTTGATGCTTCCCCATACCGTGCGTGGCCGCTATTGTAGACATGATCGAGAAGACCATGTTCATGAACTGGCTAAAGTCTTAGTTGTGTTCCAGAGCAGAATTTTGTTTCCAAGCTATCCAGTTACATACCCAGCAGAAATTGATCAGATAGTCGTCCCAGCCAACACTTCGAACCATAATTGCCCGGGTATACAGTCGAAGACAGACGAAGATGAAGGTCACAAAGGTCATCATCCACATGGACCATATGACCAATGGTTCTCTGCCGCTGAGTTTGGTCATGTTGAGATAGCAATTCGGATGTAGAACGAGCGTTACCACTTGATTCTTCAGGGGATCCAACAGGTCAATGAGTGTGTTCTTTGTGTCGACCTTTCATGGGCCATGGACAATGTGCCCTTCAAGTATCATCTCTTGTAGAGCCCTCGAAATCAATAACCTCCTTTGTGTATGTAAATACCAGAGCGAACTCCGTACTGTAGAGCGAGTCTGAGCGACTTAGACCAGGAACTGGCCTCTTACGAATTGGCGCAGGGTTTTCTATCTGACATGGTTGTCCTCTTGGTACAAGCATCCATGTAAAGACTGTCTGGGCGAGGATTCTCCTTTCCCTAAGGGCAGTGTTCGGGTATTATTTACAAGTATGACAAGGGCTTATTCTTTTACTGTGAGACACCGGATGGGCCATGGTTTCGAAATCTCTAGACTAAGAGGTAGACCGTCGAGTCGACTCAGTTGGACTTCCACTGGCTTCTGAGAAAGACTCCAAGAGTTTTCTCCATCAAGCCGTTCATACCTTAGCTGCTCTACCATAGCATCGAAATGCGCTCGATTATAATCCTCCTGATTCTATGCGTTTGTGTGCAAATCCCAGCAATTCGGAAACATGACATCGTATACAACACCCTTGTTACGGCAGGGTAGATATCATTTACACTTTCCAGAATTGAGTGTTTGAAGCAGCATATTAACCAGATGTTCGGAACATAGAGGGAAATTAGGAGTATGCTCCCAATAAGAATCCCAAATGTGCGTTGGCTCCCTGGGATGGTTTCTCCTTGCGTACTTCGTATACATCTTCAGTATCTTCATTCGGTATGGCGGGCCGAGTGCCGGCCGGTAGAGCCAACTTGGATTGTATAGTGGCTGGTCCATAGAAAAGGGATCAATTACATCGTATGAACCCCCCTGCCTCCCCAGGAAGCTGAGTACTCGGCCTGATATACCCCGTACGAAAAGTAGTACACATAGCAGGTACTCTAACGGGAAGCTATCTGGGTTGAGCGCATTGACAGTTCGGGGTATCATAGTTCGAGCATGAGCCAGGATGGAGTCTTGACAGGTTCTTCCGCTGAATGCGATTTGTTGAACCTTTATCGTCGGCTCCCTGATCGACGTAAAAGGGCCGGCCGCAAGCGAACTTGTCGTAGTGCGACAGGCCTCTCCGCGGCAGGCTTCGTATTCCGAACTTCCCCGGGATCCACGCTGCTGCGCGCCAGGTATATATCATAAATTCATTATTAGCAAGTTGTTGGAATCCGAGGAGAGTAAACTGTCAACCTACTAATCCGGGCTCTAGAGCACTGGTTTCTCCACAAAATGAGCCGCCACAGCGGTCCCATTCGTCCGTGACCCTTATCCCAAATTCCCCCGAGCGCGACGACCAGCACGGAGCAACAGGGACACAAAGACGCCCTTGATCCACGATTTACGTGTATAGAGCAAGGGAGGAGGTCGTTAAAAGTGGGTTGATGCGTTGGAAATACAGTACCTACGCGAGGTCACTTACTGGGCCCTGGGAATCCTGAGAATCCTGGGGGGCCTAGTCAATGGCTTCTTTTGATCAATCTGATTCTTCAGTTGGGACGCCTTGAAGTTTAAGTCCTACTCCCCCTTTTGAATCCGTTGATTCGAGGCATTATTGCTCCGTACGCAATATATGTGACAACCGCTCGCTGGATCTATCATCTCAGTCCCTCGAATCTTCGCTACAGGCATCTGGCGAAGGGAACTCAATTAAGATGGCCTTTTCATACATCTTGATGTCCACGGTGGCCAGCGGTCTGCTGTTGCTTGTATGTCTCTTGCGGATAGGCAGGCGACCGGCGAACCTTCCGCCAGGTGAGTGCATTTTTCAGTGGCTCCTTTTCAACCCTAGTAGCTGGTGATACTGAGTTCGTAACGTGTAGGACCTCCAACCCTGCCTATTCTTGGGAATATTCATTTGGTGAGTCTGAGTCTTGATAACCAAATTCAACAGTGCCAGGATGAATGGATCATTGACTTGCAGTGCAGATGCCTTCCCGCGATGCTCACAAGCAGTTCCAGAAGTGGGCTCAGGAGTATGGACCTGTATACAGTCTCATCCTCGGGACTAAAGTGATGATTGTCTTGTCGAGTGATGTCGCTGTCAAGGACTTGCTAGATAAGAGGGGTGTGATATATAGTGGCCGCCCGGAAGCGTATGTTGCGCAAGACTTATGTAGCGGGGGGTTGCGCTTCCTTATGGTCGTACGTCTTCTGGTTCCCCGCACCATGGCTGAAATAGGGCGTTCATGCTGATGAGATACCTCGATGCATATAGCCATACGGAGACACATGGCGAATGGTACGTACTGCCCCTCTCCCGTTGACCTTCAAAGCAAGGCAAAGCTTTTGTGCCGCAAATTGGATACTAATTGAAATGTCTTTCTTTGGTAAACAGATGCGAAAGATGGCCCACGGTCTCTTGAATATATCGGTGGCCAAGTCCTACGTTGTATATCAGATGCTTGAGAACAAGCAAATGCTTCACGATATGTTGCACAAGCCCGATAACTTTCTCGAGCACATCCGCCGCTATTCCAACTCACTCACGACGAGCATGACTTATGGGTAAGCACTTGGAAGACCTTCGCGCAACGCGAGGTGTCTCCACAGCATATCTACCCTTAATAGAGTATTCTAACTCTTGCACAGATGGCGATCCCCGACCTATGAAGATCCTCAAGTGAAACAACTCTTTCACGGATTCGAAGAATTCGCCGAAATGGCCCAAACTCCACTTGCCGCTCTCATAGACTTTTACCCACCACTTCGCTACCTTCCCCTTCCCATCCTAAGACGAGCCCGCGAGATGCACAAACGAGAGAAAAAGCTCTATCTTGGCCACTGGGAAACCGTCAAGAAGGACCTCAAAGCTGGAACTGCGCGCCCTTGTTTCTGTACCGATATGGCAGCCGTACAAAAGGACTACGGCCTCAGCGATGACCTAGCGGCATATATCTCAGGGAGTTTCCTCGAAGCCGGTTCCGACACCACCTCTAGCACACTCTATGGCTTCATGCAAGCTATGCTTCTCTTCCCCGAAGCACAGAAAAAGGCTCAAGCTGAACTAGATCGTGTCGTTGGAACAGACCGCCTCCCAACTATGGAGGACGAGCCTCGCCTACAGTACATTCGTGGCTGCGTTAAGGAGAGCCTTCGGTGGATGCCAACCACAGTCCTTGGCGCCGCGCCGCATGCAGCAACAAAAGATGATGAATACATGGGGTATCTAATTCCTGAGGGCGCTGCCGTCATGAATAATGTGTACACTATTAACATGGACCCGAAGCGCTTCCCGAACCCACGCGTCTTTGATCCAGACCGCTACCAGAACGATCTACTGAGCTCTTTTGACGCAGCTGTTTCACCTGATGTCAGTAAGCGGGATCACTTTACTTTCGGTGCAGGGCGTCACCTCTGCCAGGGCATGCATCTTGCGGAGCGGAGCCTGTTCTTAGGGATGTCGCGGATACTGTGGGCATTTGATGTGTTACCTGCTTTGGATAGTAATCAGAAGGAGATCATTCCGGATCCGGAGAGGCTAACGCAAGGGTTTGTCTGTATGCCCGAGCCGTTTTCTGCGAGGATTGTGCCAAGGTCTAAGGAAAGGGCCATGATGGTGGAGAGGGAATGGGCTGAGGCCAAGGAGTTATTGGATCCGGTGACGGAGCAGTGGAAGAATGTACCTGAGGGGATGAAATTTGGCTCGCTTGACTAAATAGATGCAAGATATCAACGTGGAGAAGAGTATGTGCTAGGGGCACCAAGTTTAGGGGCGGGGCGGGCAGCCAGTTGTAGAAGGATAAATCAGGCGGCTGCAGCAAGAGCTCGCCTTTTGAAAGCAAACTGCGAGGGTGGCAACCACTACACAAATTTCACTTCGTGGCTCTTAAATTGTGCCTTTTTGATTAAGAATACTATACTCAGTTTCTTCTTTCCAGGGTTCTACTTGTAAGACTAATAATACTACCGGCATCTTGCCAGGAATACTGGAATCACTGCCATGGCTAGATTCGAATATATTGAATTGAACTGAACTGACTACTTAATAGGGAACAACAAGAGAGTTATATACAGGTAAAGGTGGCAAATACTATATACTAAGCCCGTGTCGCTATTTGCATCCCTAAAGTGGTTGTATGCATGCTGGTTCGCGAGTTTCTTGCATGTCTTTAGATTAAGTGGTGGATTTATACTAAATACCTACTTTATGGTATATATAGGTTGTATTAGTATAAATACCTCTTCTCTTATAAGGATATAATAGTCAGCCTAAAAGCATAATTAAGTAGGCTTAATAAAAGAAAGGTTACTATTAGTAAAGTAAAGTATTTACTAATTATTATCTTAACGCTGGTGTAATAACTGTGCGCTTAAAAGCCGTCAGAAAAAGTCTCGCTAAGTTACCCAGTTCAGCGCGAGAGTCCATTTAGCTGGACCCTAAATGTTTTTAAATACACGGCCTTCTTACATCTTATTTTAACATACGAGGCTTTCTTCACATGTTATTCGGGTACAATCATGTCAACTGGCAGACTAACAACTGAATTGACGTCGCTCATTATCTCCCAGCTCATCGCTCCTGAGCAGCCTACCAGCTCCATTCTTGATACCGCGCCCGTCGCAAAATATGCCGTGGTATCCAAAGAATGGCAAGCAGGCATAGAACGGCATACTTTTTCCAATCTACGTCTTACACCATCTCGACTTACCGACTTTGGACGTATTGTACGGGGTGTACGTAAAGGATATGTCTGCAGTATTGATCTTGATGTTGTGCTTCCTCCTTATAGTAAGGCTGAGTATGGGAAGTTCGAAAACGACGAGGACCAAGCGCGGAACAATCAGAGTTTTTCTCGCACTGTTCAATCCCTGTTTAACACGCTGCAGTCATGGACTCAAGACGAGGTCAAGAGTCAAGGCATTAGATTGTCAGTGAAGTTCTACTCACCTAGTGACCTTTTCCGTCTGTCACAGGATGAACGTAGAGCTCGAGTACAGAAGCGCAGTCTAGGAGGTCCAAAAGATATTTTCGATCTCAGGTATGATCAGTCATACCTCCGCTTTATTCCTCTCAAAACAGAAGCCGGCGAAGAGATTTTGCTTGAATCCGTATATGTGATTACCGAGATTCGTGTCGAACCTGGAGATTTGAGGCATATGTGGCCCGCGTCATGTTCTCAGATTGCTGCAAAGCTGCCTCGTCTGCGGTCTTTTAACGCATATCTCTGGGATAGCGAGAAGAAGGACCTCAGATTGCGGAAGAGCGCTCGAAATGGTAAGCGCTTGAAACATTTATACATTGTATGATGACCTTCAGAGAATCGGAACCTAACTCACTTCACATACTAACACCAGCCTTCAGAATTTGCAAAGTCTATTCTCACCTGGCCGGCATCTATTCAAGATCTCGACCTCTCGTACTGCAATATCCCACCACGAGATGAGACCTTCTCACCCCCAAACATCCTCTCTGGCCTAAACCAAGATCAAGATCTCCTTAGCATGAATCTCTGTCACTTCTCTCAACAATTAACCACCCTAAGGCTAGACATGGTCACCGTCAGCCCCTCCCTCTTCTGGCCCCTTCCCTCGACCACTGAAGAGGACGCCAATCCCACGCTACCCCAATGGCCACATCTCACCAGCCTTACACTAATCTACAACATCGCCACACCCTCGGGTGAGTGGCTTTTCGAGCGCTCGCCGGCCATGGACTGGGAGGATGAGCGCGGCGAAGACCCGGCAATGTCCACGCCAGAGGACGAGCTCCCCGCACCGGAAGACCGATACCCGAACAGTTTCCGTTTTGCCCCCCGCCCGGAGCTGCTGAATACCTTCTACCGAGCGGCGGGACTCGCAGCGCAGAATATGCCGCGTTTGAGAGAGATGTGGCTGGGCGTGGATCAGGGGACGTCGGTGAGCCATTGGTTTGAGTATCAGTGGGAGGGAGAGAAGCTGGGGGCGACGGCGACGTGGGGGAGTACGCCGGCGTTTGAGCCTGAGGGGGGAGTGGTGGAGGTTTGGAAGGGATTAGGTGGCGGTGCTAGGGGGGAAGTCAAGGTTAACTTTGTAGAGGGGATTGAGGGGGGGTTCAATCCCGCGTTAGGGATGGTTGTTTGACTTCTATAAAGTATAGTAAGGCGTCCTAAAACTATCTAGAGACATCAAGGACGAAGAGATGCTTGCTACACAACGCTAGATATAAACTCATGTCAAGACTAAATTTAGGACACAACCTGAGATGCGGTCGACCTCTCCCTCTCCTCCTTGGCCCGTAGCAATTCGGACTTGACTCGTAAGGTCGGATAAATGTTCGTCTCCATCAAATTCCGGTGATCCCGCCAATTGGACCCGGGTCCCATTGCCTCCTCCAACCTAAAATCTCTCGGCATCCCGATGCCAGCCATGTGTTCTTGCATTTTAAGGGGAACAGGACCGCCCAATGCAAACGCCGCGGTGATCCACTCCACGTCATCTGCCTCGCCTTTGTAATCCCCATCATATTTATACCCGGTATGAATAGTGAATCCGAAGAGTAGTGTGCAGCGATATAAGCACGGAAAGACGGCCAACATTCGGGGCAAGGCGGGAAAAGTAGTTGGAGAAGACTGTCTGGGGTTCAGGATAACAATGTCGCGGATACAAGAAAGTGCCAGAGCCTGGTCATGTGGCATCATGCCTTTGATACCATTGGGGTCGTTGCGCTGGAGGCGCGCGGGTAAGTCTTGGTGCATTGCGAATGTCTTGACCCTGAAGAACGACACCTTTCCAAGGGTGCGAATTCTGCGGCTCGTGCTGTTGATGGCAATCCAGTCCATCCTGTGAACGGGCTGAAGTGTCCGATGATGCTGGGGAGAGCCTCCCTTACAACCAGTGTAATTTGGATCTTTTGCGCCGGTAGAGGACTCTAGGGCAGGATGACTCCATTTTATGTACGTGCTACGATCTAGGCCTGGACGGGGGTCGTCTATATAAAATGGAGAGTCGCGTGCCATGGCGAGGTCTAGTATGCGTTGCAGGATATCGTCTGATAGTTGATCGAGAGTTAAGGCTTGCATTTGTGGCAGAGAAGCCATGATTGGTTTATTGATTTGTATATGGGTAAATTGCGGAATCAAGTAGTAATCTGGGGAAATATTTTGGTTTCGAGCAAGAGCTGTAGGAAGGTTGTTTTCTTTAAAGAAGTCACCTTGTTCCGGCAGCCGCACCACCCAGGGATGCGTGACAATGTGCGTGCCTAAATTTAAAATCAGCGTATCAGCAGCAGCGATTTTCTCATTAACCGCTGGCCGCCGGGAAGCCAAATGGGGCGCAGTTGTTGGTTTCTTCGGTGTCTAATCATTGGTCGTGCATAATTGGGCATTTGAAGATCTTGGTCACTGTTTCAAATTTGTGGTTGCTTAAATATAGTTTGTTCCGCGAGACAACCAACACTGTTTCTTTTCGAGAAAGAGGCACTAAGGAATACACCACGTGCACTCAGAGAAGGCTGTGTGTTTTGGCCTCACAGCCCTCCATTTATAGATGCATTTCAATGGATTTGAGTAAATGGATAGAGCAAAGATTCCTTTACTTTAACCAAAACAAGACTCCTTCTATTCAAATATCAAAATGGAAATAACAGTTCTAAAACTCTTCCAGTACTACAGAACCATAACACATACTCGAGAAACTCTTTATAGTTCCCCTCTTATCCTGCTTCCTAATCAGAAGGTAGCAAACCATTTCAAGCCTTTCGAACCTCACTACCAAAAGCACCAATTCCCTCCACAAGATAATACCCTCCTTCGTAATTAGGCTGCGCAATAGGTCCCTATAGGTTAGGTTTCTATAGGTAGGACCTAACCTATAAGGATCTAACCTATAGGGTAGGTTTAGACTAGTAGGTAGGCCTTAACCTATAACCTAACCTATAGGTTACTAAGACCTTAACACGTGATTTAAGCCTTAATAATATTACGTAGTAGTATAATAATTATAGTTTATACTAATCTTTATACTAATTACTTTATAAGGCGTTATTTAATAGATTATATTTAAGAATTTATAAAAAATATATAATAGAATCATACCTTATAACTTATAATCTTATTACTACTTTATTTTAAATTTAGCCTTATAGCCTTTTACCTCTTAGTATAGTATACCTAAGTATTCTATTACGTATAGACTATATAAGCTTTATATCCTTTTACTAAATTATAACTTGTTTAGTATAGATAGTAGTAAGATTTGTTACTATATGTTGTTTAATTAGTATAAAGATTAGTATAATAGATTAAATACTTATAAGAAAACTTAGTAATTAATATAGCCTTTATAGATTCTTATAAGGCTTTTATTACACTTCTTTAGACTTAGAATTTAAGGCGTAGCTAAAGTATAATCTCTTTTACTAGCCTTATAAAAAGGGCCTATAGTATTAATAGTTTAGTAGTCTTTTAGTACTTTCTTATTTCTCTTAGTACTATAACTATTAAATTTGTTAGTAGAGTTTTTATACTAATCTTTATACTAATTAACTTACTACCTAGTTTAAATCTTTGTCTTTTAGCCTAAGGGTTTAGACTATTTAGTTAGTTAGGCTAGTTAAGCTAGTTAGGTTAGTTAGGCTATCTAAGGAGCCTTTTACTAGATTAAGGGTAGCGTACTATAGCTTTTTTTAGTAGTATAGTTAGACAACTTAGTTATGTAAGTAGTAGCTTTTAGCTTTAGGCTTTATACTATTTTATAATTACGATTAACAAATAGTAGATAAGAAGACTAATAAAGTTAGTATAGTAAGAGGTATAAAGGATAGAGAAGTAAAAGAGGGCCTATATACTAAATTAAGGTTAGCTTAATAAAAGAAAGGTAAGTAAGTAGTAAAGAGTTGTCTATTTATATATTATAAAAATAAAGGCTTAGTAAATTTTTAGTAAAATTAATTTACTTTATAACTAACTACCTTACTTATAGTGCTATAATAATAGTACTATATAATATAATAAGAATAAGGATAGTAAGACACGTTAAACGCGTCTATCTATTGTTTATTTTAATTATTATACTAATATTTTTACTAATTACGTAAAAGAGTATTATAAAACATTATATAAAAAATTTTAAAGTATTATTTAAACTTATTACTAATTTACTTTTAAACCTCTTTCTTTCTTTCTTTTTTTATCTTTATTTTATACCTATACTATTTAATAGTCTAAATATAGAATAAAGAGTCTAAAGAACTAAGAGTCTATTAAATTAGCCTAAATATTAAACAAAGAGTCTAAAAGTAAAGTTATAGCCTAAATATTAAATAAAGAGTTTAAAAGTAAATTAATTTTACTAAACATTTTTTACTTCTACTACTCTACCTCTTTTACTACTACTCTACCTCTATAATAATAACAACAATAATAATAATAACAACAAGTATAGTTTACGTGTTAATCTATACTAATTATTATACTAATTATTAACATAGAAAAACGGTTGTCTACACTCTCTACTACCCTAAAAACTTAAAAATAAATAATAGAATTAAAATTAGTACCTTTAGATACTCCTTAGAGTACTAGTAGACTATAAGTAAGCCTATAGTAACGGATAGTAGGTATACTAGACTTAAACAAAGCTAACACTACCTACTTATAAGTAGGAGCTAGTACTCTTATACCTTAACTAAGAGCTATAGTAAAGAGCTAGAGAGTAGTAAGAGTAATAAAGACAATAAGATAAAGAAAATTATATAAAGGATTAAAGCCTATATAATACTAAGTAAGGAGAAAAAGGTGTTACGTCTCTTATATAACCTTATTACTATAATAATAATAATAGTAGAGATAAGAGCTATAAATATAACAACTCTCTTACGTACTCTTAAGTCCCTTTCTAATAATAACTTAATAACGATTAGACAATTAAGAACGATGTTAAAAGAGGCCTTCTAGAGGCTAGTAGTAATAGCGGCCCTTTAGGCTACCTATACGTTAGTAGTAAGCTAGTGCCTAACAAGAGTATAGATTATACTAGAGAGGCGGATTAAAGAGCTAAGGATTAGAGTAGACAGATAGATAAAGGACCTAGTACGTTATAGCGCTATTAAAGTAGTAATAGTAGCTAATATAGCGATTAAGGGCACTAAGGTAGTAGTAACCTACTAGCTACCTAGTAGTAACACTATCCTTACGTTTAAAGAGGCTATACTAAAGAACGCGATCTAAGATTAGGGCTAGGTATAAAAGGCGTTTAGGCTTATAGCCTAGCTCTATAAGAGTAAGTTTATAGTAATCGTAAAAGGCCTACTAGTAGAATAGATTATATAAGTAGAGCTAAGAGTATTACTAGTAAAGATCTAAGCTTATATACTATATATTATAAAGGTTAAAGTTAAACCTATTAAGGCCCTTATAGTAAAGTTTATAATAATAGTACTATACTTCTAGAGTACTAATATAGTAACGTACCTATATAAACAAGGGTTAATCTAGTAAGTCTAGATCTTTAACTATAAGCTATATTCGGCTAACCTATAAATCTAAAGATACTTCTAGTACTACTAGTTTAGCTATATTAAGTAGTTTTATAAGAACTAGGCCTAGTATAGCTACTATATAAGAGCGGTATACCCTTAAGGTAAAGAGAAGTACCCTTAGCTTAATAGTAAAAAGAGATATATTAACTATAGTAGACTATATATAGTATAAGACTATTAGTGTCTTAAGGCCCTTAAGGTAAAAGAGTAAGTATATACTATATATTAATAAAGGCTTAGATAGTTTAAGGTGTCTAAGAGTAGCTTTACTAGCTAGGTACTTAGCGTTACGCTAGCGTCCTTATAAGATAGTAATAATAGCTACTAGATTATAGTACCTAAGAGACTATAGACAGGTAATAATAAGAAGCTTATAGTAAGGACTCTAGTAAGGTAAGAGCGCCTCTTTATTAGGGTACTAGATATAGTAATAGTCTAGAGCTATAACATTATAGAGATATTAAGCTAAGGAGCTAGCTAAGGGTCTAGTAACCTCTTTATAACGTAGGACTTATAGATTCTAGACTCTTAGTAATAAAATTAATAATAGTATACTAGAATACTATAAGAAAGAACGGCCTTATCTTAATAGTACTTTATAATAGCTATAAAGTCGACGTTATAGTAATTTAAGAGCTATAGTATAATACTTAGACAAAGATAGTCTACTACCTAGTATAGGCAAAGTACTAGTAGGTCTATAAGGGTAAAGGTAGAGTAGTTATTTACGTTTATAAGTAGTACCTACTTCTTACTTAAGTAGTAAAGACAGGCGTTAACTAGTATTACGTTACTCTATAAAGTATTACTATCTAGTTAATATACTTACTAATTCCTAACTCTTTAGGCTAGGCTAGCCCTCTCTAGCGGCTTACTAGAGAAGACCTAGAGAGGCTATAGATTGTTATAAGTAATATAAACCTTTATTACTTACTTTAAGACAAAGCTAGTAAGACTACTCTTAAATTAAAGACCCTTTTCTATCTAGCCTATAAGTAGTAGCTCTTACTATATATACCCTAAGAAGAGCTAATATAGTAGCGACATAATAAACAAGACTTAACGATTAACTATATATAAGTTATAGTAACGCTCTAGTATACTTATTAAAGTAACCTAGAGTATAAGGGATCTAACTACTATACCTAGCTAATTAAGGTTACTACTTATATAAAGGATTACTAAGAGAGAGCTATAAAGGTACTAAGATAAAGCTAGACCTTAATAGACTAAGAACTAGTAACAATTAAGGCTAGAAGGCTTTACCTTCTCTTAGAACTACTAGATATACCTTATAAGGTTAATAAGGTAGTTAACTTACTTACTTCTTAGCTTATATATATTATAGACATATCTACCTTAAGAAAGAAGGTTAGCTAAGGGCGTACTAAGCCTTAGTAAAATAGTAAGGTCTTTAAGGCTGTCTAGTAAGTACAGGTAGTATACTATTAATACACTACTACCTTAACTAAGCTCTACTAGTACGACCTTTAGTAGGCTAGTACTTATTAACTCTATACGATCTAAGATATAAAAACTAAGAGCTAGTATAGCGCCCTTACTACTATCTTAAAGGACTAATAAAAGCTCTAGAGTCTTAAGAGGTAGGCTAGGCTTTATAGCTATATGTCCTTAGAACTA